TGTGGACAAATGGGGTCGCCCTGAAGAACTGACAAAAAATGGAGAAAATCAGAGGATTTCTGAAATTGGAGCCTGATGTGTCTACGATGCAGTGGACAAATTATTATTCAACTCTCGAATATATTATTCTGGCACAATACTCAAATGTTACCAATATGCCGGAGGTATGTGATGCAAATCGATCAGATCCCTCCGAGTGCAAGCCAAATCCTATCTCAAGTTTAATGGGGTCCATGATCTATTGCAATCAGACAAGCCTTTCAGTTCTTATGACCAATTCAAGAACCTTGACCGAAAGATCTTCATCCGAGTGCAAGCTAAATCGTATTTCAGGATTAGTGGGGCCCACGATCTGTCGCAATTGGACAAACCTTTCAAAGTTTGCGGCCAAATCAAGAATCTTGATCGAAAGATCTTCACGGAGAACCACCCGCACATGTGAAATCTACGACAAGCTGCACTTATAATCCCACCAATGAATGAATCGTACTCGAAATCCTGGTCCATGACAAGTAGTGTGGAGCGAATTAGGAAATATTCTATTGGACAAGAGGAAGGGACTCTTGCCCGAGCATGAGGTTCTATCCTGGTCTCACGACTGAAAATGAATCGAGACTTGCGGCTTGTATGGGTGCCATATCGTGTTGCGTCCGGATTGAAGGATGGTTTTGCAGACTAAAACCAAAACGAATAATCGGAGCGGCTGCAGGTCGGCTCGTCTTGATTAAAGGGAGCGCTTCCTTTTTTTTTTTTTTTTTGTTGAGGGTGTAAAAAAGGGCTGGCTTTTCCGGCCAGTTCCAGGTGTAGATTCCCATTGTACAGAAGCAAGTCCGAGCCAGTTAAATAGATTATATTGGGTCGCTTTTACAAGTGGCGGGTACAACAGGAAGAGGTGGTACTGCTCACCCTGGGGACGACGGTTGGAAGAGGCGTGTACTATTCGATCAACTGAGGCACAAGTGAATCAAGAGAGATACTGTGTAACAACATTTCCGTATTGAATCCAACCCTTGCCGCTGGCTGGATAATAACGGAGAATGTCCAAAAACTGAGAGCGGGTAATCCAGGAGAGGAGAAGAGATGGCAGTGGAAGTCACACGAGAGAAATGAAACATGGATAGACGGAAGAGTAAGACCCTCGCGGGCACGTTCAGTGTGTTACATGTCGGTTGATTTTCAGTTTTTGCGAACGACAGAGTTGTAGCTGCCAGCGGTTCGTCTGCACTCTGTTTTCCAAAATATGAATTTTCAGAACCTGTATGGCGCTGGCATCAAGGCTGGTATATATGCCCCTGTGGGACCGGAGGTCCCGGCAAGTTCCGCTTGTAGTAAGATTCGAGTTATAGACAACATCTATTCTGTTCCAGTCCCTGCATGTTACTAAGACACGATAGTACGCCACTGTACATACACTACAGGAGTACGGCCGAATATTTAACAACACAGCCCTCTCTGCCGACATTTTCTGCCCTCCAATCTTCACCTCCGAGGAGGTAAATAATGTCACTCCCAGTTGCAAGGTTCGGACCCATATCGAACTAAATCTGGAAAATCCCCTCACTCCCTTCTCTCCCCATTCATTCACAGTCCAGCCTATATCCCTTCTTCATCTACGCTAAACAACCGTTTCTTCTAAGGTATGGCTGGGTGGCTGCTCGCAGCTGCAGATTATCCAAAACAACTCCCCTTCTAAGGTTCCCCCCGTTCGCAATGGTGATTGTGTGGTCATACACGTGCACCATATTTAGCCACCCCCTTGATGACATTCATTATTGCTCCGTCCCTCGAAAATATGGAAACGAATAATTACAAGAACCACATGTTATAACAGTTTGTAGCTCTGTCCACCGCCTCTCGGCTGTGATTTTCCGTACCTTCAAGGACTCTTCTGAAGTGCTCTACTCTAGTATATTGACCAAGAAATACAAGACGTAAACCACTCGAACCACGCAGTGCTGTGTCTCGAGTACATATGTAGTTCCACAGATTGAGCAGCAGATTGGACTTAGATGTAGTGGACAGTGGCACTCGCTTGAGTTGGCCCTCTTGCTCTCATATCTCCTCTTATGGACGCAGAATTGCACACGGCAGTTGCAATTAAAAAACTCCAACTCTTCCTCTCAACCTCGAGTCAACCTGATATAGTACCCAAGGGTGCTGTATTGAACCGGGAATTGTACAGTAGTTAGATAGCTACTTTTATTTTGCGACCATTGGCGGCTCAAGGGTTTATGCACCATGCGGCGTGTCATAAGTAGTAAGTGAGAGGTGTTTTTATCCATAGTAGCATACCCTATTCTTCGGCGCTATCTCTTAAAAATCCACTGGTTTTGCTTGCAGAGGTGATACCGAAGGAACCATCCCCGATGCATATTAACGCTACCCTTCGAAGGGTATAGAATGGAAGGATGACTATTCAGCTTCACAAGAGTAGTAGACACTGTTTCGAGTTCTCGTTCTCTTTTCTAATACGGCTCCTATGCATCTGGACTTTCTTTTGAATCTTGCCACCACTCCTGTTTACCCTGCAGACACGTCCATGTTTTTAAGTTCTTCTTTCGGGCCTATCAACCCGAGAAGACTCGTCTTCTCTCAGAGCATCTTCCATACATTTTACTACTACTTTCAATCATTCCTTTGTCGTATCTCGAACTTCTCTCTCCAACAAGTCGCTTTCCCTTGTAAGCTGTCTCTTGAGCAGTTTTCCAGCCGACACAGCTTGAAGGTGCAATTGAGAAAGCTAACTTGTCCTTTTAACGTGGCTTCTAGCGTCCATGTTTGACTACTTCGGTATTCCGCAATCAGACCCAGATCCTGTGCTCGAAAATACAGGTATCACAGCCTCGACGCATTCCGCATCTCTGCCTCAAGCACATCAAGATTTAACATCATCAACCCAAGCTCTTCAATTTCCCGTGCCAGGAATACCGATGACGTTCCTTCAAGCAGAGCAAAACTGTTCTCAACAGTTTGACTCTAGTGGCCACCATCCGTCCTCTAATGGGCTTCTTCAACAACATACTCAGCTTCATAACACGGAAGACCATCACGCGCAACACTCAAAGAGCGAGGCCATCCCGAACACTGCAGTTGTACATGTGAGAGGCTTCTCACACGCCCTCGAACAACAGCAAAGATCACAAGTGCCGCTCTCAAGTGCGAATTCGCACACCCTTCCTCTACCGCTCCGACTGCCGCTTCCACAAGCACAGCAACATGTTCCGAACCTAAACCACATACACAGTTCGTGGTCGCCTCACCAGCTGTCCTTGGGCTGTCATACGATGCCCTTACCAACTCCACACCCATCATCTCGACAATTTCCAGTCGGAAACCTACTGTACAATGCCTCCCAAGCGCTTCCGCAGCAGGATTTACATCATCTTCCACAAGGAACAGATCCGCTTCCGACGAAAAATGGTAACCTTCTATGCAATACTCCCTCCTCACTTCCTTCACACGACTCCCATTACCTGCCACAAATGCCACCTTCGTCAAGAACTGTAGAACTACATGAAACGAGGAAACAACGCACGCTTGGAAAACGGCGAGTAGACTCACCTTCCGAAGTACCACATAGATCCCCGAGGAGAAGAAGGACGAAACGATCCCTCGTGTGGGATTTCTTTGATGAGTCTGGCTTAAATCACAGTGTTGCTGTTTGCAAACTGTGCAAGCTACCTGTTCCAAGAGGAAGAAAGCTGGCTAAAAACACGACAAATTTGAGGAAGCATTTGCAGTACAAACACCGGAAAGAACTGAATGAGTATGTAAGCCAGCGCGCTCGCCTCTCAGGGCATTTTGGTCACGCCCCTGTCCAGAGATCACCCGCTCCGACTCAAATAGCCCTCCAGCAATCACAGAGACACCAATTGGGCTTCTCTATGAGCACCCCGGGCTCCGATCAGATTCAGTCAGCCTCAAATAATACATACCCTTTCCAGAGCGGACACCAGGCACTCTTAGTTCAAACGACTCAGCCCTATGCAGTTCCGTTTTCAGCAGCCATAGGCTCTAACGACATAGCACAACCAGGTGCGAACGAAAGCAATGGGCGGAGATCTCAAGAAGGGTCCCCAGCTGCACCGCCATACCATGCAGAAAGGCTATCGGCAAGCTCTCATCTCATGTTCCCTCAAAGTACAGCAAGGCCGACACAATTCCCAGCTTGTTCATCATTACCAGACAGAATTGAGTACTTTGATCCCACAGCAGTTGAGCGCAGCACCAGGGGGAATGGTTCTGACAAACCACCGGTCCGCCCGGCAGCAGTGTTTCAAAGGAGTGGTACAGCTGAGGAAAGACAGCACGTTATATTTCCGGGAAATGCTAGCCCTGAACTTTCCTCGGACTTGAGCATAGGGGTATTACGTTTGCTGGCTTTCATGGATCTACCACTAGCTGCATCTCAGTCGAAAGGCTTTGAAGCCTTGTTCTCTGCACCTCGACTTCAAAATCATGTACCCAAAGTACCGAAGCTGAGTCATGGACTTCTTTTAAACCAAAAAAAGGCGATACAGAGAAAGATGCGTGCTTTACTAGCTAACGCAGAGAAGCTTGTCGTAGTTGTGCAGACAAGAGAATCATCCCACAACATATTTTGTCGGTATCTCAAGCATGGCCATGCCTACGGTCAGCTCTGTTTGGAAGTATTGCCGAACAGTAGCTTGTTCCCAGGTGGTGGAGACGAAGCGAGAGCGTCACTTGTGGAGGTACCTCCATCATCAAAGAATCGGCAGCCTATAGGAACAGCTTGCATTAATCAAGCACAAAAGTCATTGAGTAGCGTTGAACAAGCATTGGATTGGTGGGATATTCGTGAAAAAGTTGTTGGCGTCTTGATTCTCGAGAACCTACTTCCAACCGACACGAGTCGGCTTGTCCTTCATAAAAGGTCGCAAAAGCAAGTGCAGTCCACTGTTGGGCGTGATGACTTCAATTCAGCGAGAAATTTCTGTCCAGATTCTACACCCACAGAAAACCAGAAAAGGCGTGAAACGATGCCCAACGGCGCCACCCTCGGAAGCAATCTGCTGGACAAGATCTCCGTGTTGCCTTGCTTCGCTGCTTTCATTGAAACAATTGTCTCCCAAACGATCTGTGAAAGTAATGTCGTCAGAAGAAGTTTCATAGATCCAATGAGCAGAGGGCTTTTCAAAGCCCTTGGCGAGAAGAGCTTTCTCGACTCTGAGAACTGTCAGTCTCGACCAGCCAACCTGCAACTACCGCTGACCAACTTGTCCATGGAGGAGCTGTTGGCGCACTTGCGCTACTTCAGCGATCACCTTGAAATCATTCAGGGTGTTTTGAAGCGGAAAGGGGACGCGGAAGACGTGGAGGTTGTCTGCATGCGGAAGGGGGATCTCAAGTTGTTGGAAGTTATTTTAGACACGTTCGCTGAGCCCCTCCGTCAAATACGAACGAAGAGGCAAGGCGACGTGTTTCGAAGTGAACGGCTTTCCATTGCTTTGCCGGCTATGAAGCAACTGCTTCAGGACTTGGAAGGAATATATCATAGCGTGACAGAACCGCTCAAGACAGTAGTGATGGATGTTTTCCAGGCAGTGAAACTTCAGAGAGAGGCGATGGAGTCACAAAGCATTTACGCATGCGCGACACTGCTGGATCCACGGTTTAAAAGAGAAGGGTTCTCAACGGTTGAGGCTGCCGATGTAGCCGAGTCGCAGATTGCAGAAACGTTTGAACGGGAGAGAAAGCGAGAGGATGTGGGAAGAGGGCTCCGCGATAGCGGTGGGAATGCGACTAGTATCATTGATGGGCCATCAATGGGGTACGATCAGATGATAGGCTCTGACACTGCGGAGCGGGAGCTGCTTTCTTCCTTCCTGAGGGCTTATCTAGAGGAACCGATCGTTGAGGGGATGGAGGACGTGGAAGGGTACTGGCGCGGGAGGCACAGTAAATGGCCGTTGTTGGCTGAGATCGCGGCGCAGTACGCGCTGATGCCGAGCACGTGTGACACAGACACGACGCATTCAGTGCTGGGAGATTACAAGAGGTTGGATTCATTCGACAGCAGCGTGTCTTCCGACTCGCTGTACTTATCATTTTGCAGGACCAACATGCTCCTGGTTGATGGTGACTTGATGCTCAGCTAGCGAGATGTAATACATGGCCAGGCTGAGAAGTGAGAAAGAAGAGGGGTAGCGGTGATGGGACATTGACATGGACAGATATGCTGGTTACTATCGTATCTTCGATTTGACGCTGTCTACAATGTGCGGGCAACAGTCGCAACTGATGTGCACTAAAAGCTTCACTGCTGTCCCAGTGCTGCAAAAAAGTGGCTCCAGCCATGCACTGTTGAAGCGATCAGAATAAATCAGTATTCTTGTTTCTCAATCCCAAGTACTAATACACATATAATTCTGATGTAAAAACGCTATACCGTACGTACAGCACGTACACTGCACACCACTGAATACTGCAACCCCACGAGACACGAAGAATCAGTGCGATATTCATAGCCGGCGTTATTCGGAAACTCCCACACCCCCAAGCACGGAACACGGTTGATAATCCCTAATAATAGCCTGTGCACATCGCATAAATAGTCAAATCTTGCGTCTCAAAGAGAGACATGGTTACGTCGGAACGGGCTCTGAGGGTTATGTTGGCTCTCATTCCGTGTCTTCAAGGCGAGCAACTAGAGAGCGGCAACAGACGCTCCCTTGTCTTTCTTGCGGGACCCCATGGTTTGCCATTGCATCGTGCTTAGCGCTTCACACAAAAGCTTCTGAAATCCTGCTGAGCCTTTTCTAGGACATGACGCATACGTTCACACGTGTACACGTTTGTCGCAAATTTCAGAGCTAGTTCCTCGCCTACAGTAGTTCCAATAGCGTCGTCTCCCCAACATCAAGTCGGTTGCATGCCAGGTCGCTTCCCCTGCCGCCCGCCACTCACCCGCTCTCCCCCTTCCCCCCTGTTACACTCTGTGTGCAGCTACTAGCCCGCATCCGCACTTCCGTACACACATCGCAGCATGACATAATCTTGCCGCCCTTTCGCCTCTCAATTGCGAGCATTCTTCATGACAATCTTGTTTGATGCTTTCCATTCCTTGGGTTGGATACCCTGTCAGCAGTTGTTGCGCTTCCAGTTGTTAAGCAGACTGCCCATTCATATTGGAAGACTCGGATCCATGTCCTCAGATGAACAACCAACGTAATACCTGTAGTATGCATCAAGGCACCTTGGATTGTTCGGTGTCCTTCCCGACCCCAACGCCCAAACCGTGAAGCATGATACAACGATCATGGCCACACAGGCGATAAGCCCGAGTAACACCGCAAGTACACCCCAGAACATTTCCTCCTCAACTTTGTACCGCCAAATCACCGAGCTCGCCGCAGCGCTGAGGGGGAATATATATGCCCACCAGGACACGGAAAATTTCTGCGTCCAAAAGGTGGGGAACAGCCGAAACATGAGAAGGTACAAGAACAAGTCGATGTACAAGAACGCTTGTGCAGCCTTTGGCCATTCCATGTCATTGACAATGGTGAGAAGGGCATTCTTTTTTTCTGGGTTCACTGCTTCGGCCATCTGGAGCACGACGAAGGCGAGGGCAGCTTGCGCTGGCGGCGCGATAAACAGAAAGAAAGTTGGCTGCGGCCGCTCCGATCCCTTATCAAGGGCTGGGGAGAGATGTTGGAAGTTAGTGATGAAGACGAGTAACCAGAATAAGCAGCCGACGGAGAGCATGGCGAACGCGTGCTCGACAAGATGTGCTGATGCGCCGATATTGGCAAGCAGGAAGAAGCCAATAGTTTGCATGAAGACGAGCGGGTGAATGAAGTTGGTTGGATGCAAGCCGAACAACCAGTCGCCGTAGAGATAGAGCGCAAGGCCGACTTGGTATGCGCCGAGCACGTAGAAGCCCACGATGAACTGGTTGAGCGTTCGGAGGAAGAGTGGTGTTGTGAGGATACACAGAGCGCCGATCATGACGGGCATGAAGAAGAAGTTGATAAGACGCTTGTGATTGAAGTCGTCGATGATAGAGCGCGGGTAAATGATGGCGCGTGTGAGGTATATGAGGGCGGAGATGGACAGGATGAGACAGGAGACGAAGTACATTGTGTACCAGATGGCTCTGGGAATTTGGATCATGCCGAAGTGCAAAGCGGCGGTTTGCCACATACCGGTGAAAGCGAAGAAGGCAAGGGCGACGGCATTGTGGGAAATGTCCCACTGGACGACGAAGCGACGCCATCGGGGGATGCGTCTGAGCTCGTCTGGGGAAGGTCGATCCATCATGAGGAGGTGTGGGGCGGCGAGGGCGGAGACAGTGTGCTGGTTAAGGACGGAGACCACAAGGTGGGCGGCAGGCGGGAGACGAGGAGCGGTACCCAATGAGTGGAGAAGGAGGGGAAGGGCGGGGAGGGGGGAAGGCGAGGGGGGAATGGTGGAGTTATTGAAGCGCCATAGGGAGAGAAATGTTTATAGGGGAGTGGGTGCTTGCAATGGAGCTTAAGACGGGGAGGGGTGGTGTGGAAATAGGGGCGAGTTGTTGATGGATGAGAGGGGTGGCGAAAAGACTGTACGGGATAGGAAGGAGGGAGAAAGAAAAGGGGGCAAGAGATTGGGGAGCGGAGGAACGCGATAGGGGTAAAATGGGTTAGCGAAGGCGGAGAGGAATGATAGAGGTGGAGAACGGAGAGCGTGGGAATGAGTGGTATTGCGAAGGAGAGTGGGTAGAATATGTGAATGAAGAATGGGATTGCGTTAGTAATGGAGTTGAGTGTGTACAAGAAGTTTGGGAGGCTGGGTGGACGGGGGCTACTGAGGAGGGGTGGTTGGGGGGGGGTGTTGTTCGGATGTGAAGGGATGGCGAGTGGCCTGAGGGTGGACATGTGTGGGTGAGGAAAAGATGTATCCTTGGATAGATGAGAGCGGGACGGCGGAGGGCAGCCAGATTCGAGACAGAGAGATGAGGTGAGCGTTTGCGACGTGCCTGGCTGGCAATTGCCGTAGAAACCCTTTAAGTGCATTGGAGTGCATTGGAGAAATTCCCAGCATCCCCATAAAAAACTGCCGACAAACTACAAAAACACGCAACTGTCATCCCGGCTTTCCGTTAGCCGCTCCGCCACACGGTCCTCCTCGTTAAACCTTGTCCGTTTCGTCCGCCAGACCACTGTCCGAAAGAGTCACCCCTGCTTCCACATGCAGTCGCACCGTGATGATAAGCCTAGTAGACTAATGCACAAAAGGTGCAACCCCCCTCGTCTCCTCACACACACACCGATACACACACCCCACAACCCCCTCTGCACATGCACCTCCATCTCGTCAATCCTCTCTCATTTTCTCCCCCCTGAACAGCTTGACCCCCGCTACCCAGGCTTGAAGACAGCTCTGACACCACAACGCTTTTTACTGACCAGTCTCTGCCGTTTCTTTTCTGTGTTTCTTCTTCCGCGGAATAGAATACAGAGGCGCGACGTCGCGACCGCCATTGCAAAACCTCACGTCGGGAGCAGCAATGGCGATTAAATCGTGTAATTCAGACAATGTCTGCGGCGCCGCGCGACAACGACAACAACAACATGAAATGGCTTGAGTGCATGCCTTGACGGGATAGGGGTCGGGCGTACCAAGGCGGAGAGCACGAGGGTCAGATTTGTCTCTTCCCCCCTCTCAGCCGCTGGGAAGTAGAAACTTGGATCGACTCCCTCTCGCTCTGGCGGACAGCGTGGACCCTTGCAATGCGCGAGCCTCGTTGCTACGGTAGTTAATGAGGCGTACATTGCTTCCTTCCACATGATTAGAGCGTTTTAGATATGTTGCCTGCTGCCGTTGCGTGCCTCTCCCGATGCGCTCCCAACGAGGAAAAAAGAAGGGAAAAGTAGGGAGGAAAAAAAAAAAAAAAAAATCTAGGCGCGCGTGCGAAATTGAGTGGGTTTTCAGACGCGAGGTAAAGAGACAGTCAGGAGCGACGGTTTCCGTGCAGACAGTGGCGGCAGGATTTATTTGTGGGGCGTTGATACGATGGACTCCACACCTCCGTCGCGAAGTGTGCGTAGCTCGGGCAGTTGGCAGGTGGGGGTGGGTGTATAAATTGAATGTGTTGGTTTGGGGTTTTTTTTGAGGGGTTCTGCGGCAAGCTGTGGACGCAGGTGGGCAAGTCGAGCAAGTTGCTTCCGGATGGGGGCGTCACGAGGTTTCGAAGATGCGAGCTGGTGCCGGTGGGAGGATGTCAGAGGTTTGTCATGCGGCTCAAGTGATTGCGCAATTGCTGGACAGTCACTGCAGATGGATTGGCTCTGCAATAAATCGAGTTTCTCTAAGTGGCACAGGTCGATGGGGAGGGATGTGATTTACGTATACGGGGGTAGTGAAAGGTGGTGAGAAGTTTTAAAAGGATTAATGGTAATGCGAGCGGCTAATTAGGGAACGGAGTAACAATGACAAGTGAGTAGCCGGTGCAACTGGGAGCATACTCATAGAGATTTTGCGGGGGACTCGGGAGGGCGGACGAGTCCTTTCACGGCGGTGGGAGCGAAAGCGACAAGGCTGGCAATGATCGAAGCGTGGACCGGGGGCAAGGCTAGCAACGCAAAAAAGCCTACGGGGAGGGCAGCGAGCGATGCGGGTTCGGGGATCACAGTGCGTGCGCGGCGTGGGCGGAGTGTAAAGCCACCGAAGAGGGGGCATCGCGAACATCGCTGGACGGTGTCGGGTGAGATATGTAAAAAAGGAGCTGCCGGGGGGGGGGGGGGGGGGCCCATCTCAGAAAAAAAAACGGGACTGGTCCCCCATTTTTGGAAAGAGTTGCCGGGT